TTACCCTCCCTCTTCTCCTGCCTCCTCCTGGCTGAATGAGGGCTGGAAGCGGGGTGGCCGGAAGCGGGGGGCGGGGCTTCGTCATGTGCCCCGCCCCCCTGCACCTCACCCGAAATGATCTCTGCCTGGGACTATTTCAGGCTAGGGCGATGGCACAAGTACCACACAACCTTATGAGCAAATGAGGCAGCCAAGTTAGGCTGCTGCTGCTGCAAACAGCAAACACAGCACTGGTCAAGCAGTTGGAGGTTTGCAGAGTGGAGCTGGGGAGCTTGTGTTTTCAGTAGCCACAAGAGAAAGGCAGCAGGTGGGGAGGAGATACTGTGGGGAAGTCAGCACTGCATCCCCTCCATAAGGAGTGGCCAGATTGGATTGCACTGGGGGTGTGATTCTGCCCTCTTCTAGCAGCAGCTGCAGATGCCTCTTGGAAAGCAAGGACCTTTTGAAGCTAAAACGAGAGCTCTGCCTATTAAGAGTGGCTGGGCTCCAATCCAAGGGGACATATTTGCAAGTCACCATCATATGTGGCAGAGAAGTTAATGTTGTTTTTTTTGTAATCCACAGGCTTTGAAACCAGTTGACAGAACTCTCTGTGATAAAAAGCAGATTTTTAAAAAATGGTGTGTTATTTTGATTTTGCATCTCTTTAAAGCTTTGGAGGCTGGTAGATGGCAAAGGGCAAGTCCCTCATTGGTTATGGCCAAAAGGCTGCCTATCTATCCTAGCCTTCCCCCAAGTAGTTCAGTGCAGTAGTACACATGGCTGTCCTGTGTTCTGTTTAGTCATCACAACAACCCTCTAAGGTAGGTTAGGCTGAGAGAGTGTGACTAGCCCATGGTCACCCAGGTAGCTTCATAGCTGAGTCAGGATTTGTACTCAGGTTCTAGCCCAGCACCCTAAGCACTGCAACATCCATTTATTTCTCTCTCTCTCACACACACATATACACAGATTCAGGTGGGGTAGCCATGTTGGTCTGAAGCCGCAGAACAAAGTTTGAGTCCAGTGGCACCTTTAAGACCAACAGAGTTTTATTCTGGGTATAAACTTTCGTGTGCGTGCACACTTCTTCAGGTACAGTGAAAACACTGTACTTATATGTTTTCACTGTATCTAAAGAAGTGTGCGGGCACACGAAAGCTTATACCCAGAATTAAACTCTATTGGTCTTAAAGGTGCCACTGGACTCAAACTGTTTTCTTACACATATACACATTTTTTAAAACTTTCTTCTTTTGCTGTCTTCTCTCTACCGGTTTCTCCTCTACTTTTTTACCTTAATGGACAGCTTTGTCTTTCCCTCTTCCCACGGATTTGTCAGTCATTATTTACATTTGCATCTTACTTTTCAGAGAGAGTGCCAAGTCTTTGACAGCTTTTTTTTAAAAAAAATCTGATTTGATCCTCCCAACCAATGTTCCTGCTCAGCATGATTCACCTCCTTACTCAGTGGCTGTGGGTCCCCTTTAACAAGGACCTCCCACATGCTAACCAACCCATTGTCTCAGTCCCCGACTTCCAACTCAGCCCATTTCCCCCTGGCTTCTGCCCCCTGGGCACTCACCTGCACTCCTTCTGGGAATTCTCATGGTCTGGAAAGAGAGGCTCCAATCAATTGCTGGGACTGGCCTCTGCTCTACTCACAGGGGTATTTCTAGTCCAGGTGGCTGCCTCTCCTCTCACCTGAGCCCAGCCCACCACAGCCTCTACCCTCCCCATCTCCCCACCCACTTCCAGACTAGGAGAAAGAGCTCATCTGTCTCTCTAGGCAGAAAGAAGCCCTTCCTGCAGAGGTCTCAGTAAAGACCAGCCTCTGTAAGCCGTTCATACGTTGGAAACATCACACTAGCAATTCCATAGGGAGGGGCTGTGGCTCTGTGGAAAAGGCTCTACTTGGCATGCAGAAGGTCCCAGGTTCAATCCCAGGCATCTCCAGTTAAAAGGACCAGGTAGCAGGTGATGTGAAAGACCTCTGCCTGAGACCCTGGAGAGCCCTTGCCAGCCAGAGTAGACAACAATAAACCAAGGGTCTGATTCAGTATAAGGCAGCTTCTGGTGTGTTTATGTATGTACAAGTCAGGGGCTGGATTCATAGAGTGGCAAAGTGCTAGTTCTAAACATGCGCTGCTCGTCGAAATGATCTTTGCATAAGAAGCACCTACATACCTGAGGGCTCTCTTGGGTAAGTCTCCTTATTTCATTAATTAATTAATTAATTAATTAGGTTTATACCCCACCCTCCCCGCCAAGGTGGGCTCAGGGCAGCTTACATAAAATTTCATATAAATAAAATTAAAACCCATCATAGACAAACATAACATAAAATAGCATTCAATTAAAATACTCCTAAACGCTGGACCATGATCTCATAAAGCGAGAACAGAAGATTACATACAAAATACCACGTAAGGTGACAGTATATTTATGATGGTGTTCACGCCAGTTTGATTTTCTCAACTTAATTGTGCAGCGGCAGGGCTATTTTTGGGCAGGAACGAACAAGAACGGAGTTCCGGCTGGCTTCAGAATTGGCCACGCCCACTACAGCCAAACCCTCTGCGTGCGTGGCTACAGAGGGAAGGCCTGGAGAGCCACCCCCCCCCCCAGCGACTCCAAGACGGGCGGCCCGGGGGGCCCAGGCAAGCCAAGGGGGGGCTTCAAGGGGGGGGCTTGTCTGGGCTCCCCGCAGTCGTGGGACGCCCGGGCAAGCCAAGGGAAGGCACGGGGGTGTGGCCTATAGGCTAATTAGTGGTGCTGCCAGGGGTGTGGCCTATTATGCTAATGTTCCTGCTGGGCTTTTTCTACGAAAAAAGCCCTGTGCAGCGGGCACAGGCTGAAGATGGAAGGTAGTGAAACCAGGGCACAGGGACACTCCTCGGTGTGTGATGCTTCCACCTGGCAGGGGCAGAGCCGGAGAACCACATTCTCTCACAGTGGGTGGCCACCAACCATCTTGAGTTCTCTGCACAAAGCAGACAAGGTGCCATTGCTGAGGCACAGCAGACCCTCTGGGGCCTCGGCCAGTGCTCCGCCTCAACACCCTCCAACCCGACTTTACACACGTCAAGGTGTCTAAATTCATTTTGCCCCCATGCTTGGATTGGACCGGTGACAGGTGTGGTGGCTATCCAATCCACACTCTTGTGAGCAGAGCAGTTCTGCTTCTTTTTTCAGACCTGGAGTGATGAGGTCATCAACCAGCATTCCCCATGGAGAGACGTTATTGCTTAACAGCAGTGTGTGCACTCACTGTCCCAGGAGTAATTCCATCATGGGGCTTGCAGCAGCCATGTTTTTGGGAGGCAGTTACATCCCGGATTTAAACACACACTCCCAGACCTGGCCTAGGATCTGTCTTCCCTATCAGACAACCACCTTGCATGAGAAAAGGGAAAACCCACACAGCGGCCTTTATAAAACAAACCCAAACTCTTCAAGGAACCCTTGAAATTTTTCCTGATCAATACAAAGTCAAAGAGGCCCAGTTGTTCTTTTTCCTTCACCCTTTTATCTTCCTTGAAACTCCCCTGCCAGTTTGGTGTAGTGGTTACGAGTGTGGACTCTAATCTGGGAGAACCAGGTTCGGTTCCCCACACTTCCACATGCAGCTGCTAGTGTGACCTTGGGTCAGTCACAAGTTCTTTCAGAACTGTTCTCTCAAGGGCAGTTCTCAGGAGAGCTCTCTCAGCCCCACCTACCTCACCACAGGGTGTCTGTTGTGGGGAAGGGAAGGAGATTGTAAGCCAATCTCCTCCTCCTCAGAGGAAAAGTTAAACTTAAAAAGATCCAAGTTTTTTTTCATACAAAGAGAAAATACCTGTATGGGGGGGAGAGGCTTGTGGTGCTGAAAAGGCAGAAGGGAATGCTTTTTGGCGAAAACAGTAAGCAAGATGTGGAATGCACTTTCACTGTACACAGTTTGGTGTAGTGGTTAAGTGTGCGGACTCTAATCTGGGAGAACCGGGTTTGATTCCCCACTCCTCCACTTGCACCTGCTGATGTGAACTTGGGTCAGTCACAAGCTCTGGCACAGCTGTCCTTGAAAAAGAGCAGTTTGTGTCAGAGTTCTCTCAGCCCCACCCACCTCACAGGGTGTCTGTTGTCGGGAGGGGAAGGGAAAGGCCTTTCCCTTCCCCTCCCGACAACAGACACCCTGTGAGGTGGGTGGGGCTGAGAGAACTCTGAGACTCCAAGTGAAGGGCGGGGTATAAATCCAATCTCTTCTTCTTCTTCTACTTGTGTATTATTAGCATTGATTATCTTTTATGGCTTTTTCGAAGGCAAGTTCAAAGATCTGTCTATCAGCTACTCTCAGCCACATGCAAAATCTCTGGCACCTTCTCCAAAGTCCCATTTTAACAACTGGTTTACCCTGCATTGACTTTGGCCTCTGAACTGGGATGGTTTCACTCTCTTGAGGCCACTGCAGATCCAAGAGCAAAGTAATTCTGGAATGAAGCTAAGGGGTCAAACCAGAGGAGATGCTGGAAGATCTATAATTAGCCTCTCCCCAACATTTTATAAAGGCCAATTGCAGCCAAGACCTGACCTGGATAGCCTAAGCTTAGAGTTGCCAGCTCTAGGTTGGGAAATACCTGGAGATTTGGGGGTTGAAGCCTGAGGAGGGCGGGTTTTGGGGTAGGGAGGGACCTGAATGAGGTATAATGCCATAAAAAGTGGCCATTTTCTCCAGGTGAACTGATCTCTGTAATCTGGAGATCAGTTGTAATACTGGGAGATCTCCAGCCACCACCAGGAGGTTGGCAGCCCTACCCAGGATGGCCCTATCTCATCAGATCTTGAAAGGGAAGCAGGGTTGAGCCTGGTTAGTAATAGGTTGGGACTGCAAAGCTCCCTCTAAGCTATTGGGGTCTTGTGAACAAAAATCCTACTTTGTGAGCTACCGGCATTAAAGTTGTGAGCGAGCGATTTGGCTACTGCACAAATTAGTTTGCTCCGGAGCCATCCTTCCTGAGCTAAGACAAAAATGTGTGAGCCGGAGGCTGAAAAACTGTGAGCTAGCTCACACTAACTCAGCTTAGAGGGAACCAGGGCTATTTTGGGGCAGGAACGGAGTTCCGGCTGGCTCCTGAGTTGGCCACGCCCAGCAGGAACTCATTAGCATAATAGGCCACACCTAACAGCAGAAACTCATTAGGATTGGCTACATTAGGGGTATGTGGCCTAACATGCAAAGAAGTTCCTGCTACAAAAAAAGCCCAGGGTTTTGACAACAAAGTAAACAGAATAAGAAGCAAAAGGTGGGTGTGGCTGGATGGCCATACTTCTGGTAACATGGGGTGTGGCCTAATAGGCTAATGAGCTGTGCTGTCAGGGGTGTGGCTTAATATGCTAATGAGTTTCTGTGGTTGGGTGTGGCCTATTATGCTAATGAGTTCCTGCTGGGCTTTTTCTACAAAAAGAGCCCTGGAGGGAACACTGTTTGGGAGACTACCAAGGAAGTCCAAGGTTACTATGCAGGGCAGGCAATAGCAAACCACCTCTGAGCATCTTTTGCCCTGAAAACCCAATGGGATCCCCATAAATTGGGTGCTGCAACTTGATGGCACTTTCCACCAAATTTGGCAGCCCCACTGGTCCCAATTCAGACCAGGGCTGTGGCACAAAGGGAGTCGTGGCTTAGCCCTTCCTCCCTACAACGAAATCGACTTCCCTACATCATTTTTCCGGGGCCAAACAGCCTCTGAGGAGGGAGGTTTGTTTTGATCAGTGAAACCACATAGGAGGAGAAAGGTTAACACATGGCTGATCCAAAATAGCTATTTCCATTTTTGAAGCACAGGGAAGATCCAATTAGAGACTGCTCAGCATTGGCCCCAATTATTCCTCAGTTGGATGCACTGGAGCAACTGTAGAACGCTTGCATTTGGGGTCTCAGTTGGAATCGCTCAAGTAGGGCCTGTGAGAAACTCCCCCAGGGGGGTGTTCAGAGAACCAAGGACAAGAAATTAGACCCAGCCTGGCTGGGCACTCTGTGCTTTCTCCTCTGACCAGGCAGACATCCAGGCGGTCCATTTTCTCGCCAAGTGCCCTGATGTGCACCTGGCTTTGAGTGCATTAAGTAGGTAATTATGCTGCTTTCGAAAGAGGCAACGATTTCTTTACAATAATATTTCATCCCATTTGGTACTTGGGTTGTTCTAAGGCACAGGGCCAGTAATTTCAGCCATATCCCGGCAGAGGCAGTAAATTGATAACAGCTTTTTCCAGGCTGGTGTTTTTCACCGAACCATTCAGCTATGGCAAGCGGAATCCAGAAAATCATCATTCTCCTTTCCTCCGCTTTATCCTGACAACAACATCCCTGTGAGGCGGGTTTGGCTGAGAGATTGTAACTGACCCAGGATCACCCAGCAAGCTGCCATGGCAGAGAGGGAATCAGAACCTGAGTCTCCTAGGTCATAGTCTTACCCTCTCCAACCATTGCACCAAACTGGCTCTCAGAGACGGCATCAAAAGACAGTCAAAACCTTTTGCTCGGTTCCTTCTCTTCTGTTTCCAAGCTTGCTCAAATCTCAGTGTGCCGTCTCTTTCCAGGCACCATGCCCTTGCCCTTTGACTCCTCTTG